TTGAATCAAATTGGTCTTGGATTTTGAGGCTGATTGGGTCAGCTTACTGACTTCTCTGATTTTGAAGTGAAGGAGGATGAAATGCAGCCTGTTCTATGTTGAATCCAACAGGAGGTACTGGTGGATATATCAATTTATATGGCTCCAGGAAACATAGGCAATAGTGTCAATAAATATTATTTAATGCAGTAGAATGTTTAAGAGATCATTCATTTAGTATAATTTCCATGTCTGTGTTTCTGCAGGAACAGGATAGCAAATATTTTAGTTTATTTCTGGTAAGTTTTGGCTGTTTTGTAGGAAAGGGGAATGATTCTATGATGCCAATTTCCCTGTAGAGAAAAAACAAGCTAAAAAGCATCAAGCCTGGGGAGGTAGTTCAGTGGTAGAATACCTGCCTAGCATGCCCAAGGCCCTGGATTCAATCCCCAGTGCCACAAAAGAGTCGATATCAAGAGTTTAAGGATTCTATCCAATTCACATTTTCACAACTTTTAATATGGTAAAGTGAATTAAAACATCCTTCAATCTTGGATGTAATTTGCTTCCTTAAACTGTGATCTGTTTCTTTGTTAATTTCAAATTTAAAGAACACTTGGCTGATGAAATTGTTATATAAATCAGAAGCCTGGTTGTTCAGTGTATAATGTGGGAATCTCTGCTGCAATTCTCTTGCTGCACTGCTGAGAGAATTCCAGAATTTTGATTGGATAGATGGGTATGTTTTGTTGTTTAATCCTGAGGCAATTTTATGAAATTTCACATTTTTTACTAAATGTATTTCTCTTTTTTTTATGACTGTATTAGAAAAAAATAATCGTATCTTCTTTCCAAAAGTTCTATCTACTATATGTTTCTGTGGTATTAACTCATTTAGAAATTATTTTAAATATTCATTAAAACTTTATATCTTTTCATTGACAGTGCTTGTTTTAGCTAGTTCAGAGAATTGAGGTTTAAAAATATTGCTATATATTTCCATGAAATACTTTTCAAAGGATTTCCTGTTCTTGGTTTTCAGACATGAAATCTAAGCCATTAGATGCTGCAATAACTCACCAAGGTCATTTAAGACAATAGTAGACCTGGCAAGATTATTACTATTTCATGATTCATTCTGCCTTTTCCTAGATCCTTCTAGTTCTGGTGTCTGCCTCTAAATATATTTTTCCACATTAATGAATTTAACAGACTCTTACATTTAATACTTTAATATAGGTACAGTCTTTCCATTGGAGATTCACTATTCAACTGGTAATTTCTTTTAATTTTATGGTCATTATATTTACGTATTGTTAAATTGTGTTTTTCACATATATGTACATGAAATTTGCACATGTGTATTTCTTTCCAATTTTACACCCTTTGTCTCCCCAACGCACATTACTCAATAATCAGAAATCACTTGGTTTTCTCCTGATTCTTTCCTTCCATTTGGAACCATTTTATTTTACTGTTCTGAAGTAGTGCAGTAAGAAAAAAAATGGCTGCCTTTTGTTTATTTCCTTGTACGTTAGCATGATGACATCATCAAGGATATTAATTAGAATGTACATGTCTTTAAGAACCCAGAGGTATGCTGTAAGCTAGAAACACTGTTTTCTTTTTGCTTTTAATGACCCAAGGTTTTGTAGCTTCAGCATAGCTCTTGTGTGCAGAGGGGAAAATAAATATAAGCATTTTGGAACAAATGCATTAAAGGGGTGGCATTTAAAACATATCTGAATAATTCTTTCAATGTTAAAAAAAACAAAACCCATTGTTTGACTTCTGAGACATTCTGGGTCAATGTTAACACCTCAAATAATATTATAAAGAAAACTATTAAATAATTGTGTTTCAAAACTGAGCTATTTAACCACATTTGCCTATTCTAGTCTAAAATTACTTTTAAATTTTTAATTGATAAAAAGTTTATATTATAATGTTTTTCAGAAAATAATTTCTTATTGACCAAAGGCTTAAGTATGTGTATATATATATATATTTATAAACATATATGTTTATAAATATATGTGTATGTGTATATATATATGTATATTCAGTGTTTAAAGATTAATTACTGAATTATTTAGGCACCATTAAAATGCACTGTATATCTTACTATACAGAAAATTTACTTTCTGATCATTATTTATGGAGCTTCTGACTGTTCCTTCTGAGCTCTTTATTGCACTTTGCATGTATGACATGCAAAATTTTCACTGAGACTTACATGTAACAACCTTTCAAATACCTATTCAGTTTAGGCAGATTATTAAAGTAATAAGAAATAGATGTTTTTCATTGCATTTTAATAACTAATTTTTTTTTTTAAATTTGGAAATTCACAATCCATTTTCAATTTTTAAGAAAATTATTTAGGTAATTTAAAAATATTTTTAGACAGATAATATGACAATACACAGAAACACACATTGTAAATTTATTAATACAATATCTATGTAACAGAAAATTCCTGTAAATGTTGAGAAGTCATCTCTGAAACTACTTGTTAGCATTGAAATCAGATAAGATAAACCAGATGCTTTATTGAAGTAAGCTGTCTAAAATAAGTTACTGCAATTTTAAGAATTAATATGAACCATATGTCCTTTAGATCTTTAACTTGAAATTTTCATTGTTCTTTTAAGTCAGCTGTTCTAGGAATGTGTCATGTTTTGAGAAGATAAATTAATCATCTACCTCATTTATATACATCAATAAAAAGCACTCACTCTCTCATCTACCTTATCAAAAGGAATTAGTATATCCATTTTTATTCATATATAGTGTGTTTCAATGATTGAAATTTTTATTGAGGAGATATTGAGGGAATCAGCTCTTATTCTTTTATAGGATTAAAAAAAAAAAAAAACCTCCAAGAAAAAGAAATGCCAGCAATCAAAAGGTTAAAATCCTTGTCAAATCATCCATTAGAGCTAGGCTCTTCAATAACATTTGTACAACAGTACTTTCAGAATGCATAAGTAGGAAATAGATTTTTACAAGTTCCCCTTCTTTAAAATATTATTCAGTCTCTATTAAAATAAAATCTAGTTAACTTTTTTGAATGCTTGCTTAAACATGTTTTACAATAATAATAATAATAAAACTTCTGCAGGGATTTCCATAAGTTGTGCTACATTATTGACTTAGAGCAGCTTCTTAATCTGTTATTTCTTCCTCCTAGTAGACCTCAGCTGATAAAAATATCCATAGACACAGCGGAGTCAGTGGCACGCCTGGCTTTCTCAGACAAAACTCCATGTGATCACATATAGGCAGCCTCAGCGAGGCTGATGCTGTGCAGCAAGCAGTAGGTAATGAGTCTTTGTGCAGAGTGAAGCTCTTGTCGCTGAACAATAAAGCATATGGTACCAGCAATAAAACACAGGGCTGGGAAATTTAAGAAGATTCCGCTGAACCAGGAAGGACAGTGCCTTACGTGATACTGGCACATATTATAAAATGATAATCAATTTATTTTGGATTCTAATGAATAAAGAGTGCAAGGACTAAGACTACAGCTATTTGAACAGGTCAGTGATTTCATCAATTTCTCCAACACTTCCTTATATTAGATTGAATTTAAATTAGGATAAGCTGATGTGTGTTTTGCCTTAAACAAAAACTTTGCAAGATATTTGTAATATGTATTATGAAGGATGCACTTGAATTGACCCAACATGCTTAAATTTTTGATGGAATTAGATAAAACAGAATAATGTCAATAGCATTATATTAAACTGAAAAGTTATTTATTCTATTTAAAAATTCAAGGCTAAGGAAAAATTCATCCAATAATTTTTAATCTTCTATGTATGCAGAGATTATATAAAGCAGAATACTATTAATAAATAGCTCAAGTAAAAAGCTTCAAATTAATTTTTCCAGTATTAAAAATTCCTCATTGTAATAGTTTATGTCATATAAATTAGAGGATAAATCATTCAGAATTTATTGGTGTTTTTGAGTATACTGGGAAAAGGTTTAAAATATTTAATTAAAAAAAAATTTTAAACAAGGAAATTTTGAAATCATTAAAATTTTACACTTTAATAATGTTGTCTATTAATTTGTGTCTTTTATTTTCTGAGTTATGTTTCTTTGACAATTGGAAAAGATTAGTGCATAAAACCTTTTATTTCATAGACATTATTCATTCACAAATGGAAGAAAACAAATTAGCTTAATTTTATAAACAGAAATGGATTAATTATGTGATGATGCATATTTCTATTGGTTCACCATTTAGTAATGGAGAATATATGCTTTCAGGTATATTTATCAAAATATGTACCTATGACCTTTATTTAGAAAATAACCACTTCATAGGTTATAAGCAATAGAGAAGTTTATGTTTCAGATAGAGAAATTACTGTGTGTAGGAAAACAAGGGAAGAAATAGTTCTAGCAAATAATAGCACAACACTGAAAATCTTTGCCAAAGACGGAGAAGCATTACTGTTTTGTGAATTTTTAGATTTAAATACATAAACTTTGATTTACCTTTTTACTGGTGTATTCTTTTAAAGACATCTTAGGAACTAAATTCTTTACAACTAATTTTTGAACACCATTTAGGATAATGGTCTCTAAGGCACTTAAGCATATTTAGCATTTTCTGGAATTACTGTAGTGACTTTATGTATTTGTATGGTGCCTAACATAAATTTGTTGCTGTTAGATGCTGTTGAAACCACAACAAAAAAGAAATACCCATGGGTCTAATTGTATTCATAATACATATTTAATTTTTTTTAAAAGCTACGTCTCCAAAAGAAAAGAAGTTAATGAAAATTTTAAATTGGCCTTCTACACATATTTAAATGAAGTATTTGACTATTTGGGTTTCCTTGGTTACCACAGTAGCTGCAGACAGCTTCTTATGGTGGGGAGAGGGAAAGTAGTGAGAGCAGGACTCCAAATCAAATGCTAAATTTGTTTATCCATTAATAGAGGTGGGGGAGTGAGATGCCGAAAGCCCAGTATAAACCGTGCCCACTCCCCATAGCATATCCCTGTTCTCCCGTGATTCAGGTATCTTGGCAGAACTGCAGTTCCACAATCCCTTACCCAGCATTCCGTTTCAGCTGCTGGAGGACTGCCTGAACCTTATGCAAATGAGACCAGCTCGCAGGCTTTGACTGCAGAAGCGAAAGGAGGGGGGCAGAAGGGAGTTCAAAGGTCACAGAGCTGGTGGAAAGCTGGATCAGTTGCCCGAAAAAAAAAAAAAAAAAATGTATACTAGGCTTCTCTGCAGCAGGGTTTTGCAGCAGTTAAATGAAGTGTGCTTTATTTCTGAGACTGGAGATTTTACATCGTGTGTGCCCTAGTCATTTAAAGTGCCTACAGGTATGGTGACATTTCGTGATGCGCCTGATTTTACTTCTGTTGAAAACACTGATGGGGATTGGCTGTTTAAATTCATTGTGACAACTGGCTGGGTGTTGTTGGTTTCCGGGCTTTCCTTAACTAGTTTATTCTTCATTTGTCTTTTTCTTAATGTTTTCTCTATTTGAAACTTCGTTTTTTGTTGTTGTTGTTTTTGTTGTTCTGATGTAATAATTTCATGTGAAAAAAAAAAATTGGTTTGGGGCTCCTGAATAATTCCTTTTTGGTATAAGTTTTTGATTGCAGAGAGCTGTTTGAGTTGAAACATTTAAATAAATAACAAGACTTTCAATTTTTAGTAGATTTTCACATTTTCTAAGACATGTATTTTAAATAAGAACTGAATTCTTAGCCTAAAATTCTTGTGAGGTTATCTGGAATTAAATAATGAAGTTCTTTTGTTCATATTCTACACAACATCATAAGGACAGTTTTGATAAATTATATTTTCATTTCATGTTAAGAGCAGGTTTGGTTTTGAGAGATTTTGTTCCATGTTTTTATTGCTAAACAGCTTATCAGAGAAGTATTTCTTATTTCTGGGTTGGAGACCTAAAATCCTTCTTTGCTTTTTCTAATTGTTATTAATGTTCTTTGGGACTTTTCAGACAATTCTGTTTGATTCAACATGTTCAACTTCCTATAACTTCTCTTTTCATTTAACTCTGGATTGTAAAGTGATCCTCATAAATATCACAGACAGGACAAAAGTCCTTTTTTTTGTTTTCCCCAGGCACTAAATATCACACTTTTGTAAAATGTGTGATTACATCATAGTAAAGCCTGTCCTGCACCAAACAAATGTGTACTCACTTTGATTGTTCATATTACCTTTTGATTTCCAAAAAATATTTTTATATAAACTTAAAGCAGCATTATCCAACTATGTTTATTCATATCATTAAAAATTCAGATGTATCAATTTATCAGTTACAATGTTTATGAGAAAAAAATATAATTTTCATTTGCATCAAGCAAGTGTGCACTTATCTATATTACTTGCATATATGTATGAAAATATGTTGGAAAGATGAAAAGGCAGAATAGCATTTAGTCATGAAATTATTGCTTTATGCTTTTATATTTGCACAATGTATTTAAAACTGCATTTTATGAAGAACTACTGCATATTTAGATAAACTGAACTACTTTTTCTTGTACTGAAAAGAGGGAGCTGATTTTATTTTAGTGATTAAGATGTGCTAGTTTGGCAACAATATCTTGTATTTTAAATGGAAGAGAGTTCGACAGGGGTGGAGGGTGGGGGTGGGGGCTAAAACAGGAGGATGACCATTTAAAACAATGGAGGACAATTATTTCAAATATTTAAGAAATTCACTTTGTAATGGTTATTCATTGCCAGATTCTCACTCTTCATCACTTTAGGCGACATTATGACATTTTTCTAGGGTCTTGAGTTAACTTAGGAAAAGGAATTCAGCTTTTGTGTGTTTTTGAAAAGTGCAGAAACTGACATTTTTTTCTAAATTCTTTTTCTTTTGAAACTTTCAAGGAAATATATTTCTAATAAATTGTTTCCTTGTTCAGTTGATCAGAATATGTTGACCTCTGGTCCAAACAATATTTGTAGATTTTGCCATCATATATACTATTGTGATTTATATGCATATATATATATACATATCTATTTATATACTATATAATATGTATTATATGTATATTATACAATATTGCATATATATAATATAGTCAAGTAGACAAATAAGATATTTAAGACTGTTCAATTTAACTCAACAAATTTTAATTTAATTTTTTCTTTAATTTAGGCATTGCCTATACTTTGTGTATTTTAACCTGTGTGTGTGTGGCGGGGGGGTGGGGGCAGAATAGAGGAAATAACAGAGGTTAATAGTCATTCAGGCAGTCTAATACTTTTAATTTTATAAATTCAACCTCTATCAGTAAGCACACCCTGAACATAGAAATAAACGGAGTAAGAGCAAGAAAAAGAGAGCCCATGAAAATTCTTAGAGAAAACGTGATAATAGATAAATGTGAAATAAAGAGAATTGTTGTGCTTCTGTGAGCCACGAGAGAGCTATATATGTCCTGCAGCTAATTTATAGCTTTGAATATCCTGGATAATTTATGTCTCTATGCAAATTCACTCAAAACTTTGAAGTCTTTTTGCATTAGCTCAAGCCATACTACTTTCATACAAATCTCAGCAGCTTGCTCATAGTAAGCTTATGGTCTGGGAAGCTAAATGTATATAGAAAAATGTATTTATGTAAATACAATTCAAATCAAATTTGAAAGTAAAAGTAAATAGAGTAATCTAAAGACAAATCCTTGGGGATGTGTCATTAGCATACTTAAAGAAATAGTGTTATATCAGACTTCAAAGGAATTTTAAGGATTTTTCAAAACTGAATTCCCTGCTTTCTGATTACCAGTCTGCCTTTGTCGTCATTTAAAACTAGAGACCATATTGTAGGCTTGGAAAAGATTTTTAGGGCAAACATGTTGTACTCAGTCTAGCAGCATGGAACATAGTCGAAAATCTACAAATAACTATCGTCACCTCAAAATTGGTTGTGTAGGCCTTCAGTTGGATTATCACTCTGTTTGTCCTTCTGAACTTATGGAACCTATCAAAGAGAAAAAATTAAATGACCTGTAACATAAATAAGGAAAGGCTCAAAGTAATTATTGAGTATTCAAAATAGTCACTTTATTTTACCAAGGCATTTCCTAAGAAGCAATCAAAACAAGCAATGGCCTTTTGGTTGCCTACACTAAAATTTAAGTGAAATTTTGTCAATTTTGTTGATAAATATAAATAAAATAAGACTGCCAAAATATTTTAAGGATCTGATTAGACTTATAGTGTACTATAATGACACCTTGTCTAGTAGAGCTGGAAAAATAATTTGTACAATATAAGATAGTTTTCTAGTAGCTAAAGTTTATAACTTTAAATGCTAATAGTTTTCATGGGAGCAAGATATAGTGCACATCATTCAGCCTTGTTGAGCAAAGTGGAAATTAATTTATGACTTTTGTTATGGCAGAATCATATTCTCACAATTTTATTCACCTATTGCAAAATGTAAAACTCTTCTCCACTGGTTCTCCCTTCCAAATAACCTTGTACTCTTATGTTTTTTATATATAATTTGATGTGCTTTTTATTATATTATTGACTCCTTTCTCATGTGAATATTTATTAATTTTAGCATAGTAATTGCTCTTTGAAAGCAATTAAAAAACCAATTAAAAAACAATTTTGTGATCTTTGTTTTGCATTAAATTCTAAATTATTTAGACTTTGCTGGGCAAAAGGAAAAAGACAAACATGCCTTCATGCTTCTCTTATATACTGAACTTATAACCATATATATGCATATATATATATATATATATATATATATATATATATATATATATAGTCATATATAAGTGAGCATAGGAACATAGAAAATGAGCAAAATTTATTTTTAGTTTATTTTTATGTTCCGAATACTGAAAATCATTTGAATTTCAGATAAATGAGAAATTATTCTTATTGCTATACTAAGAATCCATCATATTAAACAGTTAACACTCATTTGCAATTATATTCAATAGGGAAATGACAAATATCTTAACAAGTATACAACTGAGAACATAGAGAACAACTCTGTGGTGTCATTTGACTTATCAGTGGTTATAGATATACCTATTTTTGCCAGTTTTAGGATTGTTTGTAGTCTGTCTCATTCCCAAAGCCTGGTGTCAAATTCACTGCCTTCCCCTTGTATGCTACATAGAAAGAGTCTGCTTGGGTAATCTTATCTGTATGCAAGTTTACAAATCCACATATTCATTCAAGATGCATCTATATGCATATATATTATCTCTTATCAGATTTCATACAAGAAATGAAAGCAGACAATGAACCATCAGCCCTCTTTTTTTGCAAATTCACTCCCCATAATGCCATGATGTCTTGTAATACATAAGGTAGCTGATACTATTTTAGAAGTTATTCTAAAGAACTTTGAAGATCTGAAGGAATGCTGGTTCCATGAACTAAGTGTTGAAAGGTACTGCAGTATGACACCTCGTTCAAAATTGTTGAGGGAATAGCTTCCCCTTCTGATCTTCTTTTGAATTATCAGCCTGACAAAATTCCTACTTTAACAAACCTGAGTAATTTTATTTAGTAAAATAAGAAACTTGTAAGTTCCTTTCATGACAACTCAAGAAACCAGAAAAATATCATACAACATTATATGTTGTTTTCTTCATAGGCAGGTCTTTTTATCATATAGTTGATTGTGTGTTGTTTAAGTCCACATTGCAGAGTGTGAAGAGCAGCTGAAAGTTTAGGGTAAATCCCAACCGTAGTGTCATTTTCAAGATGTGTTTTGTTGGTGTTGGACATAGTGTTTGAAATCTTTAAGCCTCGTCTTCTTCACCTGCAAAATGATAATAATAGTCCATGAGGGGGTCTTTGTGAAAATGGAATAGCAGGATGCATGTCTGGCACATGATTAAAGCATTTGTGAACTGTAGCTAATAATAATATTTTTCAATCCTTAGGAATTGATTCCCTGGTGCTGATATGCAAGTTCAGCCCAAGTTTATAGTCATAGAGAATCCTGATTGAACATCTTAGATTTCAACAGATGAAGAAGAGCTCCCCCCCCCCAAATAGAAGCCTATCATGAGTTCACTGAAGGTCATATAGTCATATATAAGTAATATTTAGCAGTTGATGCCTAGAATTCACATTAGGCAAATCAAGAGGGCTCTTACCGAGGTCATCAAGGTTCAGTTTCCATGCAGCTACATTAGTTACCACGAATGTCTCCAACTAGAAACACAATCTCCAAAAAAGTCCTCAGATACCATAGTAAAATGTAACTTTCTGAATTTTAAAATTTTATATCCTTTATGATTTTCAAATTTCCATCTTTACACTACTACTTTTTAAAAATATTTTTCAGTTGTAG